TGAAAAATTGCCGCCGAGCCCGCCTAGGAGCGCCTAGGTCCGCCTACGCCCGCCTAGACGCCGCCTAACCGCCTGGCCGCCGAGCCCGCCAAGGCCGCCTAGGAGCGCCTAGGGCCGCCTAGGCCCGCCTAGGCGCCGCCTAGCCGCCTGGCCAATTTTTTCTGCCGATTTGTACAAATCGGAGGCGCCCGGGCACCGCCTAGCGCCTAGGCGCCGCCTAGGCGGCCGCCTAGGCCGATTTTTAAAACAGTGCTAAAAATACTGATGATGCAGATTTCTCATGTTTTTTTTTCTTCTCCAAACACCATATTCATTCACTAAAACACATAATTATAACTGACTAATCAGAATAGAAAAACTACCCAATACAACTTAGATATTACAACGCACACTACAAGACAAACAAGAAAAATAAAAAACTCCCCAAAGGAGAATATACCAGCTCCCCCACGAGAGAACAACACGAGCTCTCCACAGTAGAATAATGCAATCCTCCAAAAGAGGAGATAACAAAATACAACCCACAAAACAAAAACACTAGCAAACACTCACAAGTTAACACACACACACACAAAAAAAATAAAAATTAAACAAACTTAAATAAAACTACTAAACTAAATCTCTCCTTTACGGCTGTCGAGCAACACAGCAAGCCGCCACACAACTAATCACCTAGAGCCATCATTCCACATACTTAGACCCGGTTTAGAGCACCGAGCTTGAAACTACAGCAAAGGCCTAACAAGTCCCAACCCCCAAAATTCGCGGTCCCAAGAGGCTGACCATCTACAGGCCAACACGTCAAAATCAACCTCAAATCTCAACCCCACTCCTATAGACAATCAAAGTCCTACAACCACCGGATCCACCAACCAACACCACCGGCGGAGCCCATTACCCAACCCCAGGAGCAACGGAGAACCAGGGAGGTAGAGCACCAACAGCTCCAAGCCCAAAACCTTCAACAACCACCAGCGAAACTAGACGACAACCACCTAAGCTGAAACAACCACCACCCGCAGAAGTCCACCCCCAACACTTGGGAAACGGAAAAATAGGAGAAAGAGAGGAACTAACCTTGACACCGACCACTGACCAGTGCCCATTCGGAGAAGACCCCACCCAGTTCAACCTTCACCTCGTCGGTGCCTCCACAATCTGAGTGCCAACCAAAAGCAAATGGCGAAAATCCAACGACCGGGAGGTCCTAGGAACGACGGCAGGCCGAAACGAATCACGTACAGGGCGTCGATGGTGGATGCGCGGCAGAGCATTGAGCTCTGCTGAAGAGCAGGTAGAACTGAGGGCTAAAGAGGGAGACGGTCGATTTGGAATTACGTTTAGAGATATTTTTTAGAGAGAGAAATTACTGAGAGATATAACAGGCTTTTTCGGGACACTTCATCATTTCTCATAGGTTATATTTGGCAATTTGTACAAATGGCATAGTTTGGTGTTAGGTTATGTTTGGTAAAGTTAACTGGTAAGTTAGCTTATAGCTTATAAGATAGTTTATAACTTTTAAGTGAACTTCAAACTTATATCTTATAGTTTATGACTTATAGCTGAAAAATTAGCTTATATGATAATAGGGTTTGGTAAAATTAGCTCATAAGCTAGCTGAAATAAATTTTTCAACGAACTTATTGGAAAAGCTACTCAAATAAGCTTATGAGATAGACTCGATCCTTTTAAAAAAATCCGTCCTACCAATCAAACTTATTTTAATACAAGAAGCTAATATGCTAACCAAATAAGCTATAAGCTAGATTATTTGGTTACCAGACATAGCCTTTATAGTTGGATTATGAGTGATTTAGCGTGTGTATAATTTTATAATTGAATATGTTTTCATCATATGATAGACAAAATTTTTGTATTTTTTTTTTGGATTTTTCTTGATCCAACTATTATTTATATATATATTTTTCTTCAGTATTGAGTACACCCAACCTTGTTTTTTGTTGTTATAATTGATTTTGTTATATTTATACTCAATTTTGTTTTTTTATTATTTATTAACAACCTGTGTTTTATATATTATTATTTTTTAACATTTAGTTTTTTATTAATTAGTTCAACCAATTTTAGTTAAGTTTACTTTTCTAAATCAATTTTTTTTATGGTTACTCTTATGTTGTTTTTTTATACCACTTTGTTTTTTCAATTTGCTCGTAAATTTTGATTTAGTTTAAAGTTATCGTAGATATATTATAAACTTCCGATAAATTGAAATAAATTAAACATAAAATTACATAACAAAAAGGTTCGTACTTTTGAAATAGAAAGGTGATATTTATATCAAACTGAATTTTTTTAAATGGTCTATATTTGCAAAAAGTATAAAAAAAATTGTGGTAAATTTGTAAAATATCAAATTCAAAAAGTCATTCTGTTGAAATAAAGCATTAGAGCTGTTGGAGAATTCCATTCACAAAATCCATTTAAGAAATATCTTTTTTAACAAAAGTGCCTTCAATTACTTTTCTAAGAGTCACGTCTTTTATTTTAGAAATAAGTTTTTATAGTTAAAGTTCATTTAAAAAGTGTTTTCAAATGAGCAATNCTAGTTCACCATGTTTCTTTTGTATACATATGTAATGACCCTATTTCCATATTAGGCTATTAGCGGACAACTGGTTATATTAAGGGATCGTTAGTTGATTTGACTAGTAAATTGTATTTGCGATATATAAATGAGTGGTTGATAAATAACGGTGTGTAGTTATTTTGGAACTCTTATATCGTTATGTTATTTTCTGAATTACCTCTAAACAAAATGCTATAGCTGATAGCATATAGTCGACTATAGTAGTGATGACAAATTGTAATAGCAGATATTGTAGGGTGTGCAAATCTAATTCCACATCGAAAAAATAAAGGTTCCAAGTCCAATATATAAGTTTGGTGGGTTCCTCCTTCTATGGTCAATCGGTTTTAGAATGGAACCCCATTTGGGCTTGTATGTTGGGCTTGATAGAGAACTGAGTTTTGATGTTGGTCCTAACAATTGGTATTAGAGTCACGGTTGGTAGCCCAATTTCGATGTGGATGACGTGGCTTGTTTCCCGTGGAGCCGGTGGAAGGTTGGTGGATCTGTGTGCCTTGTGTCGAAAATCTTCCTAGCGAAAAGGTGGTCAAGCGGCGGGTTATGTGGGTGATAACGGCGGTAAAAGATGGTCGGATCGTATGAATTTATAAAGGTTCCAAGTCCAATATATAAGTTTGGTAGGCTACTCCTTCTATGGCCAATTGGTTTTAGAATAGAACCTCATTTGGGCTTGTAAGTTGGGCTTGATGGATAATTGGATTTTGAGTTGTTGGTCCTAACAGATATAACTAGTGGATTGTATTAGCGGTTTGTAAATAGTTGTTTGATAAATAGTGGTCTGTATAGTCATTATAAAATTTTATATTGACACGTTATTATATAAGTTATATCTTCTTAAAACGCTTCGATATTGCGACTTTTCAAAATTAGCGTATTCGCCAAAACGTTAATCAAATAAGTTATTTACTAAACACGTTTATTAGCATATTTGATGGGTCAAACCTCTAAGTGAGCTTTAATCCACTATTTTTTCCTAAATTCGCTAACATCCAGATGAGTCTTATTATATAAAGCCTTTTCCTCATCTATCTATATATATATAAAGAGGGAGTTGATGGAATTTATTGCTAAATAAAGATGATATGCAATGACTATAAGTGGCAATATTTCTACATTTGGTTGTGTAATTGTAAGTTTAATTATTTTTGCATTTGTCAATAATACTTTAGATCCGTGTTTCCATTTGCACTTTGCATTAACTTAACTAAATTAGTATTCAATTAATAATTCAAATTAATATGGAATCTACAATAATATTTATGCGACTTACTATTCAGCTATCTTTGAAGTTCCTAAACGTTATTGAATGAGAATTTTAAGAAAAAAATCTATATAAAAATAATAATAAATTTCAGTTTTATTTTTTCTAAAAATAAAAAATCAATTTTAAATATGAGAATCATTCAGATAGTTAATAATGCATATAAATATATATTTAATAATGCATAAAAATATATATACCACCAATTAAGATAATAACACCCAATGATACCATAAATATACGAACCTATAATTATACTATAGATCTATATCTATATATATATATATCTATATAATGGACAAATCCTTATTGTTATAATTGACATGATTTTGGGCAGAAAAATTTATACACTCAATGACTATTAAATATATTATCTATATATATATATATATATCTATATATATACATTTAATTAATATTTATTTATTAACAAATCATATGCATAAAAAACATAATTAATTTTTATACACTCAATGACTATTACTCATTAACTACAAATTGGCTTAAATTGAAATTTTGACTGTAAATTTATTAGATATATTTTCAGTAAGATCTTATATTAATTTAATAGTAATTTATTGGCACAATTCAAAAAATTACTATGGAAATTGATTTGATTAAATATATTATCATCTATGGCTGTAGGTATTAATTTAATTAATTATATTCACTATCCAAAAGTACTTAAATATTAATAAAATAATTAGAAAAATATAAAACTATGTTTAAATCATAATAACTTAATAAATAATTTAAAATATTAATAAAAGTTTCAAATATGTAGCCAATTTAACTATAAAAAGGTACATCCCCCATTGAATATATCATATGCAGTAATAACAGTATTGAAAATTTAAATAATACTAATAAAAATAAAATTTGATGGTCGGGTGCAATTCAGAATTATAAATTCCACCTTAGAAGTACCTATGTACATTAAAAACTATCCAATTTTTAAAAATATTTATTCTTTTCTTATATACTATTTTATAAATGAAAAATAAGTTAATAAAAAAGCAATGTATAATAATTTAGATTATAGCACTTGGTAATTATGAAAATATATAATATATCAAAATATTCGAATAGATACTATGTAATTCATTATATAGGTTGAAAAAATTAATTAAAGAAATAAATATAAATAAAAATAGAAACATAAAAATAAAATATTTAACCATAAAAAATTTGTGTGTTGCATAAGGATTAAAATCAATAAAAATTAAAGTTTGTTTATCAAAATTTTTAACATTTAATGAACTTACTAATTCTAGACGAAGATAAATATTATGGGTTAATCGTTGGTCAATTATCAAGCAATGTGCAAATTATGAATTGTTAAAAAATCATAAGACTATAATAAACAACGATTTTATAAGTATATACAAATAATTTGTATGCAAATATCATATGATCTTATACATTTAAAATATTTTATAAACTTATAAATAATAAGATTTATATATTAAATAGTCACAAACTACAAAAAAAATACAAAAATAGAAATTAACAATAATAATAAATAAATAAATGTCATATTATTACTGAATAGAATATTGTGGAGAATATAATTTCATATTGTCTTAAATAATTTTATAATATTTAAATAATAAATATTTTTTGTATTGCGTCCCGTGCATCGCACGGGTATCAACACTAGTTATATCTTAAAACCAGACAAGCTAATGAAGTAGTTTATTTGACGAGTCAAACCTCTAAATGAAATTCAATTCGCTAAAATGCGAACGAGCCTAATATGTAGATTAAAAATTATTAGTTTTGGTGTTTGGAAGGTAAATTACAAAATTGTTGAAAATTATTAATTTTAGCATTTGGTTAAAGCGGGAAAAAATATTAGAGGGTGTATTTATTTGGGATTCTGAAAAATTCTAGGATTTTGAATCCTATGTATTTAACTTGGATTTTTAAGACTTCTATAAGGGTCGAAATATTCATTTGAGATTCCACTGTATGGTGATTATGATGGGCTATTTAGCCTCCATACTCTATCTTGTAATCTCCCTTATTAGAAATATAATCTATCATTTCGAACAAAAAAAAAAAAAAGATTTTAAAGCACTTAAAAAGTCATGATATGTTTAAATTAACTATCATTTAGATTAGTCAAGATCTTGTAAGACATATTGATATTTCACAAATAAAAATCATATACGAAATCTCACATCCAGGAATAAAATTTCCAAAAATTGTCTTAATTCTTATATATTTTTTAAAAAAATTAAGATATCACTAAAAATTCTAAACGAATGCCAACTCCTAAAATTGTTTGGCATAATTTAAAAATCGACCATCTATATTGTGTACTTTTAATTTTTTGTCTTCGATATTAATCCTTATAAAACTTAGTCCTATAAATCGACATTTTTTTCAATTTTGGTCCATTTTTTATCCGCTACGTGAATAAAAAGGCATAATATAGAGGACCAATTTTGAGAAAAATAGATTAAATTTGAGAACTTTTTATAGATTAAAAAGGCATATTATTATTATTATTATTATTATTTTCACACAGCACACAGAACGACCTGAGTCTCAAGATTTCAAATCCAAAAAAAAGCCCTCTTCCCTCTCGGAGATAATACGAACACACTTTCTCTCACTTAGGGTTCCAAATTCCGGTAGCTAAAGAGATTATTGCCTTTCAGGTTCTGGTCGTCAACCCCGGGTAAGCCTTGAAATATGCTCCATTCGGACATAAGTTGTGGAGTTTCTGAAGTAATCTTAGA